ATTGAATTCGGATGCATTTTTTATTCAAATTCTGATGGCACATATTTACTTCCATACATTTAAAATATACTTTTAAACAAATTCATGTAAAGTGTTCAGAAAAATACAGGAGCAGTGATTCATGTTTAGTCTAGAGGTGGTTCACCCGAAGCAAAGTGAATCAATCCATGTTAGTACCCCCAAAACACAAGAAAAAGTATTGAGCCAGTGTGCCACCATAGCATCAATGTAGTGCACCATAGAAGAGCTGCGCTGCACTGCACTGCACCTCTTCTGTGGTGCAATGTTGCAACTTGGGCTTTTAATATATATTAACCAAGAAATCATGATCTGACATAAATTTGTCATAAAAGTATTACTGATTAAACTTTAGCTTTAAAGATAAAGCTACATCATTTTTAAAGTGTAATCAGTAATACTTTTATAACAAATTTATGTCAGATCATGATTTCTTGGTTAATGTCAAGTTGTCATAACGAAGAGATTTTGAATAATACCAACTTGTATTAAAAGTCATGATTTACTGAATGACACTTTACGACAACAGTCATAAATATTCATGAAGACTTACTCATGTTCATGACAGGTGTTATGTCATGTTTATGATGGTGTCATGACAGTATTATTCACAACCCGTCAATAAAATTTTACCAAAAATTGTTTATTGTAGCTCATTGCATTGTTTAATTTCTCCTCTTTTCATTCTCTGATCCTTATAGATACCATGTGTGGACCAAAGGTCATGCGCCAACTAACTTTGCCAAATGGCGGACAGCCACCACACCTTACAAAGTGCTGTGGGAGGCCGACTTTGAGCCCTATGTGATGGTGAAGAGAGACAGTCCTGAGTATGACCGTCGTTTTGTGGGCTTTGGCTGGAACAAGGTGGCTCATATCATGGAGCTTGATGCACAGGTTATTCATCACTTTCTTTTTTTTTACTTAAACTAAAAAGTAGGGCTGTATAATTATATAGATTCTACAATATTTATCGATTTTTTTCCCTCCTCGGAAGATATCGATTTTTCATCCGCAAGTATCGATACGTTAAACTATAGGGATCCATAGGCCTATATGTCTTTTTTACATGTCTGATTTGTGACGGCGTGGCAGCAAGACTCTGCCTCCCCCAGTCGCACTTTCAACTTGTGCTTGAAGTGCACATTACAAACTACACACCAGTTTTTAAGACCCCAACCAGCCATTTATGCAGACCCATCACAAAGACATGCCTTCTTCAGGAGACTTCCGACCAATGAAGACAACACGCATGACATAGCTTGACTCTATGACATGACTCTTTGACTTGACTTTACCACAACTACATGTACAGTGAATCCAGCAAGCGCTCAAGTATTATGTAACTCATTCTTCTCAATGTCACGTTCTACAATGTCTGTTTCAGCAGGATTTTCCTGGAACATATTTGATTTGCACAAATTTCTCACCTGAGCTGATTTTTCTTCAGAAACATGGTCCAGATCCAGAAACAGAGTTGAGGGTTTTGGCAGGTGTTGATTATCCTGTTCCTCTTCCTCTGAAACCTCACGAATAAGAAAATCATCTGCCTTCTGGTCTGTCCACCCATTCCTTAAGCAGGTTCACATGGAGTACTCTCCTAAAGTGAGGCTGATCTGGAATGGTAATCTTTTAGATTGTTTGTCCCAGTTTGCTCTGGATTTCACATGACCCTTGCCATTTTGTTAACAGCATACTGTCAACACTTGGACAGTAAGCAGTCCTAGCCAACACTTTCTGGCAAGGACTGAACGATCTCTGGCAGGCTAATTGGTCATACTAGGCTTTTTGATGAAGCTTATAAGCTTGGGCCATGCTGTCATTTTCTCCAGTCATTCCTGCATCTGGTCAACATAAAAGACGACATTTACAGCTTGTAATCTCTCTTAGTCTCCTGGTCCGGATCATAAAAGGTCAAGGCATAGAGTGGTTGCAACCCCCCCCCCCTCTCTCTAGTCTGAGATCTGGTTTATGCAATGTTGCATATATTGCTGGAGTTTAACAAGTCACACAACACAGGCAGATCTTGACCCAGCATTGTTGGAAATGGTAGATTCTCAGCAACACAAATATTTAAGAGGTAAAGATGTCCATGTACTTTTAATGTCCAGGTCTGCTGTTGAATATGGTAGCTCATGTCCATGAATGGCGCAAACAGGGATTGTTTTCATATTAACCTTGTTTGCTGGAACAAAAATTCTCTGCACAAGAGTTTGAATCATTGAGGGCTTTATTGGTGCCCCGACTGCAATAAGGTCAAATAAATAACAAAAGGCCCTCAACTTCAGTTGAGGTTGTCTTTAACTCAAACTCCATTTTAGATTCTACACTTTGTCTGGGTTAATTTTTGTAGAATTGCTTGGGCACATTGGTTTTGTGTGATCTTCCATCCCACACAAATAACAAATCACAGTCTTTGCTGGGGATCTTGAAGGCACATTTAGTGACTAGCTCTTTGGAGGTTTACTTACCCCTGCCTTTTGGTAGTGGGAAACAGGTTTTGAAACATCCCTCATTTTCCATGCTGTGTGACTCCATGGTTGTCCTTTTTTCTGTGCAGCCACAAACACATCAGCTAACTGTGCGGCTAGTGTAGCAGACATTGGGTTATGTTCTGTAATCCATATGTGTAATGCAGGAGACAGCATTCTCAAGTATTGTTCTAAAATGATTATTTCACCAACCTCATGCATATTTTTTTCTTTTGGCATCACCAGGGGGCAGGTACACATACACACTACTTAGCTGGTGTAGTCTTGAGGAATATTTACTGTGATGTTATTTTCCACATTCATATGAATCCAAATTATAATTTTGATTTACGGTGATAATTTTTGTTACTTTTTTCTTGATCAATTCCACTGTCTTAAAGTGTTTAATGAGAATATTTAGTTTGTTGAGATCTAAGATGTGTTATTTTAGTGTTCCTTTTAATTTTATGAGCAGTGTATAATAAAGTCTTTTGAGAGGGAGGTCTTATATCCAATAAACCTCTCAAGAATTTAAGTGTTTTCTTCAGTTGAGGTACCATTTCATTTTGAAATATTTTGACTCAACCAGGTTTTGCCAGTGATATTTACAGTTACTGCAGTGTTTTTTTTTCTCTCTCTCTAGGAGTATGAGTTTGTGGTCCTGCCAAATGCATATATGATCCATATGCCCCATGCTCCCAGCTTCGACATCACAAAGTTTCGCTCCAATAAGCAGTACCGGGTCTGTCTTAAGACCCTGAAGGAGGAGTTCCAGCAGAACATGTCTCGTCGCTTTGGCTTTGCTGCTCTTAAGTACATGACAGCTGAAAATAACAGCTAGTCAGCACTCCAGGCTCAAAGTCCTCTGGAGCAGAACTACTCAAAATGTTCATGGGGTAGGAAAGTTAAACACACATTTGAATTACTTGAATGGGGCCCTTTGGATTTTGTAAGACTTCAGAACCTGAGGCTTTAAAAGAAGATTTTAGCCTGAGCAACATTGACATCATATTGTATCATTATGTGTGAGTAGAAGTGATGATTATTGAGGATTGCACTGATAATAGCTCTTTTGTGGTGAGAGACTGTGTGGGCCAACTGTGCAGCCCATCATGCACTCAGAAAGAAGAGGAGAGAATTAACGTATTATCACATTTGTAAGACCACTGACAGATTTTGTGGCTGTAAAATGATATTGTGAGTGTCTGTATCTTTCCTTCAGGACAGAGCTTAGGAAGAGCCTTAGAAAGAGCGGAGCTGAAGAAACCACCACAGTTTAACTGATAGAAGGCCAGATGAAGCAAAGCAGAAAATATGTCCCAATAGATCAGAAATCTCTGTTTTTTCTCTCCCTCTCATTTTGAATCAGACATTAGTGTTTTCTTCTCTTCACCATGCTGTGAGGCGCCACCATTCTAAACTGACCTCATTAAGATGGCCGTTTTATGGTTTTAGCTAGCCTGGTTAGCTGGCTTCCTGTGCATTTCCGCTCAAAAAAGTTCTCACTTCCAGCACAATCTAGTCTTGTTCCCCTTGACTTGAACCTGGTCGATTTTTGACTAGAGTCGAGGAGAAGAAGAAGTTCACCACAAAATCAATAATGCCAATTTTCAGTGATGTTTTATAATTGTAGTTTTAGCAATGGGAGCAGAGGAAGTGAAGAAAGCCGTTATTGGACACAATTCCAAATACTGAATAAACATTAACAGCCTTATTATTCGGATCAACACGTCGCTCTTCACAGTGGTCAATGGCTGTTGCTGGCAGTTTCTGATTAGCTTCTTACATTACATACACATATGTTAGCGATTGGATGAAATTTAAAACCTTAGCACAGTCCACGCCTCCAGGAAGCAATCATTTCTCAACAGCCAAGAGCTCTGTATAATAGAAGGAATTGGTTTTTACCCAGGCCAGGTTTTAGCTGCAGCTCAGCTGAATGCATAGAACCAACATGATGTATGAGCCAAAACATGTTGCATTTTTTCCTGCTTGGATCAAAGTAATAATAATCATGGTCTCATTTCAACTAAATGAGATCAACTAAATTTCAACTAACTGAGATGTGGGTTTGGAATTTTATTTTAAAAAATGTTCAAAAAGTGGAAGGTTCTTTGTGGAACCAGTGTTTTTTTGTTTTTTTAAATCATATATTCCCCTGGCTTCTGCTTTCCTACAGGGAGAAGTGAAAATCAGATTGTATAGTGTCCATCTTTTGAATTCATGGTTATGACTAAGACACAAATAACTGGAACTTTAGTACAGTAGTAGAACTGGATTTCTGCTGTTAAAGATTTATCACATGATGCAATCTGACCTTAAAGACGCTTTCGCACTGCATGGAATGGAACAGTTGTGTTCGCATTACAACTTGCGACCGGTGTTATAGATCAACTGGTGGCTAAATCAACTGGAGGTGGCAGCTGGTGGCAGCTGGAAAAGACTGATGTTTCTGTGGGCGAGGCTTTTTAGGACCCCTTTACCGAACCAGGAAGTAAACAATGCAATAAGCTTAAAGAACTACAAATCTTTGCAAAAATACTATCCGATTCCGTAAAACAACCACTAAGATCTCGGGAATAACTAATTAGAAAGACTTTATTGGTCTAATATGGTATGTTGCCTTTTTTTTAAAGTTAATCTGCAAAACCATCAAAACGTGTAAATTACGCAGAACTTATCCTGACTTATGTGTTGCTTCAGAGGTTGAAACTCGTCAAAGGAAGATCGAAATAGATCTCGATGTGGCATGAGCAGATCTCAAAGCAAAGATTATTCCCTGAAAGCCGACATAAATGTTGAAGAGCCTTGGGATTAAAAATGAAATGTTTAAAAAGATCGACTGGCTGTGTAATTTTTCCACATATTCCTCATATTGTGATATTTCAAATAGTTATCCACAGAAACTATAGCAAAATCTTTTTAACTGTTTCTGTAACGCTACACTTTATTTCCTAGCTGTCATTGATTGTCATATAACGGACACCCCGTGCTTTAAGAACCAGGCCTGGATTAATTGGTGGCACTTTCAGAATCTCAGTTCGAGTGAAAATTTTAACCTGTTTCTGATGTAAAAGTATATAAGACAATTGTTTTTTCAGCGATGTCTCATATGGTTGAGAATTACGGTCACTTGATGAAAAGAATAAAGACGAGAAAAAATATCAACAATAAGGAAGAAATGACACTGCCACATAGATCTGCGGTAGCCATGTCTTCTGTAAATGAGCTAGGAAATAAAGTGTAACATTACAGAAACAGTAGGGGGGCGGGGGGGGGGTCCTAAAAAGCCACGCCCACAGAAACATCAGTCTTTTCCAGCTGCCACCACCAGTTGATTTAGCCACCAGTTGATCTATAACACCGGTCGCAAGTTGTAATGCGAACACAACCGTTCCGTTCCGTGCAGTGCGAAAGCGCCTTTAGAGTATGGTCAGTGCACAATTTTAGGAGAAGATTATAAAGAGGTTAAATAATTTTATGTAATAAATCCACTCAATCCATCACACTTATCTAGAGCCTCTTTCATAACAATTGAGAGGCTTGAACCACTGTATACCATGAGTTACAAGCCTCATGGATAGTGAACTCTGGGTATTCATGGTGGTCAGGGATCAAACCCACCTACGAATTGCTGAAATCAAATACTTGAGACCCCCATATTTAATGAACTATATCATTAGTTAAGTGGCATTGCATTTAGGTATATGAATTTCTAAAACTACAGTTTCTTTTGTATATTTTAGATATGCACTCTATAAAGAAATCAGCAAATTTTGGGATTGGAAAATCTGCAAATAGGTGAATCCTCAAAACCTGAATAGGTGGCATTTCATTGTACCATGGTTTTCATCCTTCCATCCATTTTCTTACACCTTTGTCCCTAGTGGAGTTGGGAGGGGTGCTGGATGTCTACAGTAAAACATTTCGGACGAGAGACGGGATACACCCTGGACAGGTTGCAGTCCATTGAAGGGCAACACTGGACCACCATGCATGCAAACGCTCACACTTAAGGACCCAATTAACCTGATAGTCATATTTTTGGACTGTGGAATGAAGCTGGAGTACCTTGAGAGAACCCATGCGCACACAGGGAGAACATGTAAACTCCATGCAGCAGTGTTGTGGTACTCGAAGTTGGTCTTGGTCTTAAGACCGGTCTTAAGACCA